TAAGTGATTTTACACAAATTGTACACAGTTGGGGTTGAGGATGCAGCTTAGTGGTAAAGCACTTGTGTACCAAGTGTAAGGCCTGGGTACAATCCTCAGCACCAAAAAAAAGTTGGAGTTCTTATAATCAGGCCATTAAAAACACAAGTTTCTCCAACAACAGGCTTCAAGTGATCAGCAGCCACTGTGTTTCCTTTCACTTGATGCCTCCTCTCCATATCCCTTCAAATATAGTATCTATCCCCATAATACACCTACTATGGCCAGGCAGATAATCCTCTGAACTCATATCTAAGTAACATCAAACAAGAAAGTCAAGTATGGTATAAAGAATTTTCAACCCTAGATCATCTATGTCACACAGACATTTCTTTATTTCTCTCATGCATAGTTCTGAAATAAGGATAATCCTTTCCACATCCTGACTAGTAACTTTCTTTTTTATTGTCTGTTTTGTTTTTATCGGTACCAGGAATCGAACTCACGACTGCCTGCTTACAAGGCAGGCGCTTATGCCGCTGAGCTAAATCCCCAGCCCCTATGACTAGAACTTTCACATGCACCAGTTTTAGAGGTTTCTGCTACAACAGGACTTCAGAACTGATTATGTTCTTTCACAATTCAGTGTGGCTCCTCCAGCTGTCCCTTCCACTGCACCTGTTCTGATCCTTCTCTTTTTTGACCTTTCTTCTCCCCTTCCCCCAAAAAGGACCTTTCTGATCAAAGAATAAATTTTTTTTTAAAAAACACTTTTTTTTTGGAGACAGAGTTTCGATGTGTGGTTCAGGCTGGCCATGAATGTACTATATAGCTCAGGCTCCTCTTGGAATCATGGCAATCCTCCCCAGCCTTCCAAGAATTATGATTACAGGCATGCTCCTCCATGCCTAGCCACAAACTATTATTAGACAGAAGTGTTTATACATTTTTGACACAATTATAAGACTGGAAAGCATTTTTGTTGTTGTTGGCTTTTTTTTTAAATAGACTGGTTTTTCTGTCTGTCTTGCTTTTTTTTTAGGTGATGAAAGTTCCCATTTATTAAAGAGAGAAGAGCAGGACATTCTGCGGCATGAGAGCTAGCAGGAGGACAATGGGAAGGGACCCTGCGTGTCCAAAATGCCTGAAAATAACATGTGGGGAAGTTGTTGTCATCACCTGCAGTGTCAGAGTGAGAGCCATTCCAGCGAGATACCCGCTAGGTTTCTAGTTACACATAAATTAAACAGACTGGACTTGAACTCACTATGTAAACCACACTGAGCTTGAATTTGACAACATAGTTCAGCCGGCCTCAAATTTGTGGTGATCCTCTTGTCTCAGCGGCCCAGGCTGGCAATGCTTCAACTTGCACTTGTCCTGCCTCAGCGTCCCAGAGTGCTCAGATTTTAGGCATGTGTCATCGAGTCCAGCTGTGACAGCCATTTTTAATTTCGGTTTGCCTGATGTTTCTCCATGATTAGATCTGCATTTTTGGAGGCAGAAATGCCACAGAAGTGATATGGATTCTTTTCACTGCGTCCTATCAAGTATATGGTGGTTCACATGGCTCACATGTCTATAATCCCAACTAATCAGGAGGTAAGTCAGGATAAACCCAATTTCAAGGCCAGTCTGGGCAATTCAGCAGACCATATCCCAAAATAAAAAATAAAAGATGAGCTGGGGAGGTAGCTCAAGGGTAGAGCTGCCTAGCATCCTTGAGGCCTTAGATTCAAACCTTAGTACCAACCACAAGGACAAAGTGCATACTACTGGGATGCCTCATTCCTGAGGAGGCAAACTCCATCCTTGAGTCCAGTTGGGATCTCCACCATGAAACAACTAATTCCCTCCTTTGTAATCAGTATGTATGTTGTGGGTAGATACTTTGAGATAGAGTAAACATTGCTTCTCATTTCAAACCTTTAGCCACTAGTTTTAACATCTACTGATGATTGTTGAGATATCCAGGGCCTTGCAGTCTATCATTGAGCTACACCCTTCTATCCTCCTCAACAATAATATTATATTTTGAGGCAGGGTCTCGCTTACTTCAGGCTAGCCCTGGACTTAACACTGTAACCTCAGCTGGCCCCAAACTCACTATGCTCCTCCTGTCTCAGCCTCACAAATGTTGGATTGTAAGTGTGCACCACCATCCCCAACTCCTCACAATCACTGTATCATGGCATGGATTTATGTGTATTTGTTTTAGTTTACGGTTTGAAATTTATCATTTTTTATTTTTAGCTTAAATCTTCTCAGATTTAGCCCTGAAAAGCCCATTTAGTGTTGCTCCTGTGTCCTTTCGTGATGTCCATATAACTTTCTGAGCAACTTCCCACGAACTGTTTTAGACTCATTTGTGTTCTTTCCTCTGCCGCCTTGAAATACCCTCCTCCAACAAGAATTGCCATTTTTTGTTGCGAAATTACACAAGTTGAGTATCCCTTACCTGAAACGCATGGAACAGCGGTGCTTCTGATAATGGAATTTTTGTTTTGGAATATTTACATGAGATAGCTTGAGGAATGGGATCCTTATCTAAATACAAACTTCTTTTTTTTTGAGACAGACTTTCAGTGTGCTTAGACTAGAGAAATTCTTGGGATCAACAGGTCTTCCTGCCTGTGTGTACCTGAGATCACAGGTGCAAACCACTGTACTCAGCCATTTACATTTCATATATACTTTATAACACATAATTTAAAGATAACTTCATACAGTATTTCTAGTAATTTGGCATATCTGAAGCTGGGTGATGTGGTGTATGCCTGTAATCTTTGCACTCAAGAAGGTTACTGTCTATTCTGGGCCAGCCTCAACTACATAGCAAGATCCTGTTTCAAGAGAAAAAAAAAAAAGGGCTGGGGATTTAGTTCAGCGGCGTAAGTACCTGCCTGGCAAGCAAGAGGTAGTGAGCTCAATCCCCAGTACCCAAAAAAAAAGCCCACAACAAGCCAGGGTATGGTGACTCACGCCTGTAATCCCAGCAGTCGGGAGGCTGAGGCAGGAGGATCGTTGTGAGTTCGTAACCAGCCTGGGCTACAAAGTGAGCTCAAGGCCTGTCCGAACTGCATAGAGAAACCCTGTTTAAAAAAACAAAAACAAAAACACAACAACAACAATAAAAAATGCCTTCAAAAATGTCTACAACAGGGCTGGAGATGTGGCTCAGAAGTACAGTACTTGCCTTGTATGCACAAATGCTGAGTTTTATCCTCAGCACTACAAAAAAAAAAGCCTTTATTGAACTATAACAAGTGCTCCAGTTTAGATGTGGTTTGCCCCTAAAGATCCACAGGTTAGAAGTTTGGGCTTCAGAATGGCAGTGTTAAGTGGTAGCCTCTTTAAGAGGCAGGATGTGGTGTTCCACTCTCATCATGAATGGATTCATGCCCATCCCACAGGAGTCAGTTAGGTACTGCGACTGGATCAAACTCATGACCTTGCGCTTATCAGGCAGGTGCTTATGTCGCTGAGCTAAATCCCTGGCCCAAACTTGAGACTTTTTTTTTAAATCGGTACTGGGGATCGAACTCATGACCACACACTTGCAAGGTAGGTGCTTATGCCACTGAGCTAAATCCCCAGCTCCATGAACTACTTTAAAGAAGCCAGTGTAGAAAAAAAAAAAAAAAAAAAAGAAGAAGCCAGTGTGAGATTTTTCATTTGTGGCACGATGTTGGTCCTCACAAAGTTTCAGATTTGCCAAGTGTGGTGGTACACGCCTATACTCCCAGAACTTGGGAGGAGGAGGCAGGAGGATTGCCACAAATTCTAGGCCAGCCTAGGCTACATAGTGAGTTCAAGGATACCCTGAACTACACAGTAAGATCCTATTTCAAAACAAAACAACAAACAACAATAAAAACAAACAAAACACCCCCACACAACAAAAAAACTTGCTGGGTATGGTAGCACATACCTATAATCTCAGCATTTGGGAGGCTGAGGCAGGAAGATCATCATGAGTTCAAGGCTAGTCTGGGATATATAGTGAGTTTAAAACCAGCCTGAATTACAGAGTGAGACCCTGTCTCAAAAATCAAAACAAGCCAAGCATTGTGGCACACTCCTGTAAGAGGGAGGCAGATTGTTGCAAGTTTGAGACCAGCCTGGGCTACAAAGTGAGCCCAAACTGAACTAAATAGCAAGACCCTCTGTCAAAAAAGGCCAAAAAAAGCAAAACAAAACAAAAACCCAATTATTTTCTGTTCTTATCTCATGTACCCACATCCACATATTTCTACCTGCATTGTATATTAATAAGCCTGTGTTCATGCTTGTTTAAATTAAATTTCAACTGGGGCTGGGGATTTAGCTCAGCGGCATAAGCACCTGCCTTGCAAGCAGGCAGTCGTGAGTTTGATCTCTAGTACTAATAAAAAAGAAAAAAGAAAAAAAAAAGCGTAAAAAAAAATTAAATTTCAACTCCTTATTATAGGGCTTATCCCAGCTATTTATTCCACCCTCCTCGCAGGCTTTATAATTTCTCTAACAGGCTGACCTCAAATTCATGCTTCCCCTGCCTCAGCCTTCCAAATGCTGGGATCACAGACATGCACCACCACAAGCTACATTTTTTTTTATCGGTACTGGGGATCGAACTCATGACCACACACTTGCAAGGCAGGTGCTTATGCCGCTGAGCTAAATCCCCAGCCCCTAGTTTTATTTCTTAACATGTAGAAATATAGCTGGACATGATGGTGCATACCTGTAATCCCAGCACTTGGGAGGCTGAGGCACAAGGATTGCCTGTGCATGCCTGTAATCACAGCACTACAAGGATGGGGCAGGAGGGCTGCCATGAGTTTCCAGCCTGGGCTACACAGTGAGTTTCAAAGCCAACCTGGACTACATATCTGAGACTCAAAAAACAAAAATAAAAACAAATAAATAAAAGTTTGAGAAGTAAATCACAAGCTATCAGCTTATCTATATTTTATCTCCAGAAGTATTATTATGCAAAGCAGTTACACTCAACTCATCTGAATTAAGATTGCATTTCTTACCTGGCTTGGACTGATCTTTTCTTCAACAGCTGTGGAATGTTGATGTGGGTCTTTCTTTGCTCCCTCACCAGGGTCTCTGTTTACTTCTGCCTGTTCCCGTTGATCTCTGAAGACAGTTAGCTCCATGCTCTTGGTTTTCTCTTCCCTATCCAAGATCTCAGAAGCCATACAACCTCCTGCAGTGAGGTCCACTAGTCCACACAACACAGGCTCAACCTTATTATCCAAGGTCTCAGAGGTTTCTTCACAACCTTGTGCATGGGTCCGATGTAGCTCCAAGGATAATGCTCTACTCTGGCTTACAAGAGAGCTTGAGGCACCAGGTTTTACATCTGGATTCACACGTGGCTCAGGGTCAGCATGAAGCTCTTTGGAGACACTTACTGGGAGTTCAGAGTATAATTCCTGCACCACAGCAGACATGGAGGAATCACGTGGAACTGGCTGAGTCTCTACTCCAGATGACAGCATTAGGGCAGATGTAGATTATGGAGTCAAGTGTTTTACATCAAATGGTTCACCCTGACACAAATCAAACGAAGGGATACAAGTTTAAAACCCTCACAGGGTAGAAAAAAATCTATCTCCACTTCACCTTAAGTCAGGAAAATAAATTCTACTTGAAATGCTAGCATTATCTGGCACCAAAAATTCCTCTTTAAACAGGCTGTGAGGATCTGGGGTTTAGCTCAGTGGCACAAGCACCTGCCTGGCAAGCACGAAGTCCTGAGTTCGATTCCCGGTACCCAAAAAAAAAAAAAAGGAAAGTTTTGAATAGACGAACAATAAAGAAACTAGTACTGGGGCTGGGGATTTAGCTCAGCGGCATAAGCACCTGCCTTGCAAGCAGGAGGTCGTGAGTTTGATCCCCAGTACCGATAAAAAGGAAAAAGACAAAAAAAAAAAAAAAAAAAAAAAAAAGAAACTAGTATTAAAATAAATAAATAAATCAGGCTGTGAGCTAAGCATGGTTGTACATGCCTGTCATCCTAGCACCTTGGGAGGCTGAGGCAGGAGGATCACTGTGAGTTCAAGGCCAGCCTGAACTATATAAATGAGAACTTATCTCAAATAAATAATAAAATAAATAAGGGGTCCTATGGCTATAGCTCAGGACTCCCTAAGTTCAATTCCTAGAGTACTAAAACAAATAAATGAAAATGAATTCGTTAGCAAAGAGAGATAAACTTGTATCCAGGACCGTGGTGAGAATCAAAAGTGAGATTCTCCATGTAAAAGTCTTTCATAAACTGTCTAGAAATATTTCAGGGTTAAGGCTGTATGAGTCTATATGGGGGAAGAAAAAGGAGAAAGGAAAGAGAAGGAGGGGAAGGGAACAAACACACACACACACATATGTGTGTGTTGTGTACATCTGGGGTTAGTAAAGTGGAATTGCTGGTTGATGCCAAAATTAAGTAGAAAGCACGCAATTATAATTTGGTTCAGCTTCCTTCTCCCAGCAACATACCCAATTCAGTTTTTGGTTGATAAACTACATAGAGATTGGAAGAATAAGCACAGGACAGGATACTGTAAAAATGTTTGCCAGTGAAGACTGGCTTGAGTGTAAGCCATTTTTCACCTAACAGTTCTTCACTCCCTATCCACTAATGAGGTATGAGTATTCTGAAAAGTTAGATGTTTGGTGTTTTAAACAGGGTGTCATGTTGTAGTCTAGGCTGGTCTTGGACTTACTATGTAGCCGGGGCTAGCCTCAGACTCATGGTGATCCGCCCATGTCAGTTTCCTGAGCATATGCCACCATGATGGGCTTCAAAAGTTAATCCTTAACTTCTCTCTTCTCGGTTTCATGAATTTTTCAGGATCAAATCAGGACCTAGGCAAGTGCTCAACTATTGAACTATGTCCCCAGTCTTTTCTTTCGTTCTTTTTTTTTTTTTTTTTTTTTTGTCTTGAGACAGGGTCTCAGAGTTGCCCAAACTGGCCTTGAACTTGCAATCTGCCTGCCTCAGCCTCTTGAGTAGCTAACATTAGAGGAATGTATTATCCTGCCCTCCCTGGTCATTTCTCACATTTCCCCTCAGCTTCTATTATAACTCAAAGCTGTGCCCTTGGGCCAGGGATGTAGCTGGATGGTACAGTGTATCCTGAGCATGTACAAGGCCCTGAGTTTAATACCCAGCATCACAAAACAGCAACAACAACAAAATACTAAGTGGGGCATAGTTGGGAATGCCTGTAATCTCAGCTACTTGGGAGGATTAGGCAGAATCACAAATTCCAGGCCAGCCTGGGCAACTTAGCAAAACACTGACCTCTTTCAAAAGAAAGCAGGGTTGAAATAGCTCAGGGTTCATACCCCTGGGTTCAATTTCTAGTACCAAAAAAGCAAAAATGAAACCAACAAAAAACAAAAACACCCCATATTAAACAAAGGCAAACAGAAAAACCACAAAAACCAAGCATCCCTTTAAGCATAGTTATATGAGCCAGCAATTCCACTAGTAGATATATACACAAAAATGTATGTTCATATAGAATCTTCCACACAAATATTCTTAAGTAGTACCAGTCATAACAGCCAAAAATTAGGAAAAAATTAGGAACAAATCCAAATGTTAATGAGTAGATAAACTATAGAAGGGCTATACAACAAAGTTTTATCCAGTCATAAAAAGAAATAAAGTGTGGGTTTTTTTTTTTTTTTTCGGTCTTTTTTGAGACAGGGTCTCGCTATGCAGTTCAGGCTGGCCTTGAGCTCACTTTGTAGCCCAGGCTGGTCTCGAACTCACAACCATCCTCCTGCCTCAGCCTCCAGAGCACTGGGATTACAGGCGTGAGCCACCACACCTGGCTACGAAATGAAGTATTAATGTAGGCAATAACATAAACCTTGGAGATAACCAAAACTGATCATGGTGCTAGCTTAGCTGTATAACCTGACTACACTAAACACCACTGACTTGTTTAACTTAAATTGGTAATTATATGGTTTGTGAGTTTCTTTTCTGCTCAGTGCTAGGGATCAAACCTAAGGCCTCACGTAATTAGACAAGTGCTCTATCACTGAGCTACAATCACAGTCCATGTGAACTACATCTTAATAAAGCTGATTAAAACAATAGCTATAATTATGTATAACTCAGTGATAGGGCACTTGCCTAGCATGCCTGAAAGCCCTGGGTTGATTCCCAGGTATGGGGGACTGTCTCTGGTCTCAACTTTTCTTTCAATTCCTGACCTTTTTCACTGACAAAGATAGGAATCCCCACAAAAAATTTTTTAACAAGTCTAAAATAGAAGCCACATCAGTGTGGTAGCACCTGCCTCTAACCCCAGCAGAGGAAGAAGGGTTATGAGGTCAGCCTGGGATACCGACTGAGTTTAAGGCCAGCCCAGATTACATAGCAAGACTTTGTCTCACAAAGCCAAAATAAAATCATAATGAAATTTTTAAAATACAGCCCCTTTGGGGCTGGGGATTTAGCTCAGCAGCATAAGCGCCTGCCTTGCAAGTGTGTGGTCGAGTTCGATCCCTGGTACTGATAAAAACGAAAAAGACAAAAAAAAAAAAAAAAAAATACAGCCCATTCAATCCAATGAGTAGCTCAGTCTTTCTACACGCAAACAGCTCTAAGAGATAAAGATGAATAAGATGTGTTCAGTAAAGTTACACAGAGTGTGTACATTTGTTGGAGATTAGACCAATGGCCTTATGTGTATGCTAAGTGTGTGCTTTCCCACTGAGCTATACCTACATCCTTACATGCTTATTCGTCCGATTGCCTCTCGTAGTATTGTCATTTTTCTAGAGTTCAGATTCGAATCTCAAGACGTAACTACTATTGACCTGTCACTGTCCATTTGATTACCACATATAACCTGTGGACTCATCTACCAGGATGTCTCTGGAAAACCCATGTCCCTTCCATTCCCACTATCCTACTTCAAGATTTTGTTCCCTATGCTGCTCTACATAAACGCATGCACAGATATCTACTAAACAGAGCTTTATCACAAAGAATCAATACTGATAATCACACAAAATGGTATAAAATGTTCCTCAAGGAAAACAGTGTCTTTACCCTTCCTATGTCTGTATCTACACTGTAAATGGACGTTAGCTGAAAAAGAATTTTAAAGCTTTGGCCATTGAAAGCTAGTTTCCAAGGGCCGGGGATTTAGCTCAGCAGGCACAAGCACCTCTCTGGCAAGCATGAGGTTGTGAGTTCAATCCTCAGTACCCTAAGGAAAGAAAGAAAAATAACTTCCAAACATCACAAGGCATGGTAGCACATACCTGTAATTCCAGCACCCAGGAGGCTGAGACAGGAGGATCACTTCAAGTTCAAGGCTAGCCCAGGCTACATAGTAAGTTCAAGGCCAGCCTGTACTACATAGAGAGATTCTGTCTCAAAACCAACCAACCAACCTACCTACCTAGCAAATCAAACAATACTGTAAGTAACATGAGGCTATCCTCTCTCTCTTTTTGGTGAAAGAAAGGTAGACAACAGTAATGGGAATTGAACCCCAGCCCTTTTCTAAAATTTTATTTTATTTTATTTTTTTATTTTGAGACAAAATTTTCGCTAAATTGCCCAAGCTATGTTGGAACTTGTGATCCTTCTGCCTCAGCCTCCCAGAGCACAGGGATTACAGGCATGTGATACCAAGCTCAGGTATCATCTCTTGACTCTTGACTGGTCTGATAGCAATGTGTTATTAGAACGTATTAACATCCCTTGACACTCATGTCTGAACAGAAATTCTAAGAATTTTCACCCTGTAAAACAACTTGACCCAGGGCCAGGAATATAGCTGAGTAGCATAAACACCTGCTTGGCAGGCACAAGGTCCTGGGTTTGATTCCCAATACAAAAACAAACAAGCAAACAAACAAAAAAAAAACACCAATAACTAGACACTCACTATGGAAGCAAACACACTCTTTTTCCTTCTAATTTAAGTATGGGTCCTCAAATTTCTGAGCGGAATCTGCAGTTGAGTTACCAAGAATAGCTAAATGTTGTTCTTGAACAAAACAGCTAGACCCCTCAGAGGTGAAATGGTATTCAGATGCAAGCCTAAAATAGTAGATCAAATTATTCTCAGCTCACATTGCCATCCATCAAAACATTAGAAGTGCCATAAGACTGAAGTAACAAAACACAATTTTAAGAAACAGAAGTCCAACGAGGTAGCACAAGCACCTGCCTGACTAGTGTGAGGTCATGAGTTCGATCCCTGGTACCAAAAAAAACCCAAGGCCCCTAAAACTAATTTGCAGAACACAATGGAGCAATCAAAATTGAGGGCATAGCTACATGCAGTGGAACACCTCTGTTACCCCAGCTAGGCAAGAGAATCACAAGTTCAAGGACTGCTTGGGCAACTTAATGAAACCTTGTCTCAAAACAAATAATGTAAAGGGCTCAGTAGTAAGACACTTGCCTACCATGTGCAAGACCCTGGTTTTAATCTCCAGGAGATTCGAATCTGAACTCTAGAAACTGTCAGAAACAAAGACTGATAATGGAGAAACAAATCTCCACATAGAAAAGTGCCTGAGATAGTAACTATTCTCAGTACTAGGCAACATCAGTAACCAGATGAGGTGGTACACACCCATAAACCCAACTACTTGGAAGGCTGAGGTAGGAGAACCACAAACTTGAAGTCATGTAGTTCTCAGTAGTTCTGTATTAGTGGTATAGTACTACTTGCCTAGCAAGTGTGAGGCCTGGGTACAATCTCCAGTACCTTGGCAGATAAACAAATAAACATGTATTTGATAAATATATATGCACATAAAATTTTTTTGAAAGACTACAACTCAACATTAACAGAGTTACCCTGGATGGTGAGATCACCAATGACTTACTTGTATGCTGTACTTTTTAGAAAAACAGTATGAATTATGTTAAATAGTTAAATATTTTCTACTATTCCCCAAAACTTAAATGCATAGCAATAAAAAAAAAAAAAAACAATGTTTTATCTCTCTATCTTACCAGAATCTCTCCAATTATCAGTCTTCTGCTTCAACCATCAAAGCTTTAAAAGTATTAAAACAAGAAACAAAAACCAAACCAAAAAATGTTAAAACAAAACTAAAGTAAAAGAAAAAAGTACACATGCTTATAAAATATGAACAGAGATTTATTAACAGCTTAATCCTTCCTAATGACTTACAATCAACCCACTGGGTAAGGACATCAGATCATTACCTAGTTTGAGGTCTAAGCAAAAAACAAATCACTGATTTAAGAATGACTCTTGCCAGCTGCTACTGGCTTGTCATCTTTATCATAACACAAATGAATACTACATCATTTAGGGAATGGATTTAGTCCAAAAAAACCCTAATGTTTATACAAAATATGTAACAAAATTATTCTAATAAAAGAAATTATTAGGGGCTGGGGATTTAGCGCAGCGGCATAAGCGCCTGCCTTGCAAGCAGGCAGTCGTGAGTTTGATCCCCAGTACCGATAAAAAAAAAAAAAAAAGAAAAAAGAAAAAAAAGAAATTGAGTTTAAGAAAAAAAATTATCTCCTGATCACTGTTTCAAATGCAAAAGCAGTAAAGACAGCAGACTCACAGCAGGTCTCCATGTCAAGAGTCCAAGGTCCCTATTCTGATTCCATTCACTAACCACACAGCCTCCAGCATGTTAAGTGAAAGTTAAGTGAACTTTCCTGGATTTGTCCCCCACCCTCCAAAATGAACAAGTTAGGCAAAATAATCACAAAGAATGCTGAAAACCTTAAAGCCCCCAAGGCTCTAAATGATAACTTTTCTTTTTCTTTGTTTCAGCAAAGAACACCTACAGACACCAACAATAGGAGTACAGAGCTTAGACAAACTGAGGTAGCTTAAGAACACTTTACATACAAAAACAACCTCCCCCCCATGCTTGTAAGTGTACCTTCAGGTAGTTATTAGGCAGTGTTAATTCCTATGCTACCCCAGTAAATCTTAAAAACAAAACAAAACAAACAAAAAAAAACCATGATAATAAAAAATAAAAACAGTGAAGAATTAACATTTCAGTTCTCAACTCATTAGGGTATTTTGTAATACTAAAAACCTGACCAAATGGCAATTACTTGTCATTCAACTCTCTCCAAAACAAATGTTCCATAGGAAAAAAAATTTACAGTAATACAGCAAAAATTAGGGGGGGGGGGAATCAAAGAAAGGAACAAAGAAAACAGAAAACCATGTGCCCCAATAATTCCAAGACTGAATGAAGGTCTCCCTTTAATTCCAATGAAGGGGCTGTTAATAACACCAGGCGCTGCCATGCTTGTGTGTTAAGGAACAATACTCACAATAATGATCAGGCCCTCAGAAGTTCCCAATACTCCTTTCACCTTGAAAAGGGGGCTTTCTTTTCCAAAAATTCAGTCACTGTAGCCGATCCCTCCATGAGCAAAGAAGGGGCCTCCTCTTGAGGGAGAGAAAAAAAAATCTTTTAATACAATCTCAAGACAAATTGAAAGCAAGACAGAGAAGCATATATATTAAATAGGGCCCAGCTCTTCAACATGTACAGGAAATCTCAAAAGCATCAAGAACTGTTTCCCTTTTCCTCCCTTTATTAGCATGCAGAAAAAGGACCCCTCTGTCTCCACACAGGGAATGAAACAGTGAAATGCTCCTGATTTCTACTCACAAAGGCTCCTTGAATAAAAGATTTTCCTCTTTTTCAGTGGGAGAGCAGAAATGAAACCTTCTGCATCAGTCTATATAGGTAAAACTGAGTCCTTTCTTTAAAGGTAGTCTTTATTTTTCTTTGGGAGAGCAAAAAAAAAGTCAGAATCATTCTCTTGGGTGGTGCATGTAGAGGAGGTTGTGTAAATAGACGGAAGTTCTTTTTTTGTCACAAGAGCAAGCAGGGGGAATGGGAAAGATCATCTCTAACCAGTAAGAAATAATAGGTTCAGTGGACAAAGGAAAGGCTGACTTCTGGCATCTGATGTTGCTTCCTCTTACGAGTGCTGACCTCCTCCCCAAACCTTTTTTCCTGATTATTTTCAGTGAGGTCCTTTTTATTAATTTGGGGAACAGAATCTGACAGAATCTAAGAGTGTCTTTTTCTCCTCCCTAGGGTGCGAAAGTCTTCCTTTTCTGCAGAAAGGATACACTGAACACTTGTTATTTTGGACTGGGAGTGAGGGGTCAGCATGCACAAAAACATCTGCTGCTGCTTTGTGCAAGGTAAGTTTTCTTTCTTAAAAAGTTACCAGACACAACTTACCAAAACTTACTATGTACTAAGCATTTACATAAATTCTCCCTCAGCCCTCAACCATTCTAAGAGTTCTCAAATTACAGATGGGTCAATGAGAAGTCAAATCATGAACCAAGGTCACAAAGATGTTACGTGGAAAATACAAGCTTGAAACTATTGCACTTCAAAAGTCACGCTCTTAAAATTGTGTAAGGGAAAAGAAATCCACTGCACATCAAGAGACCTGAAAGAAGAAAAGTGAGGGACATGACGGCGTGGCGGGGGCCCTGCTGCCTTTTAATGCCTTAAAGTCAGTGTTTTTCCTACATCTTCGGGTAACGGTGAAAAAGGAAGGGGGAAAGGCACTGTAATTCTATTTTTAGGGTGAAGGAAGATCGCCTCTGTCACTTCTAGACAAGTTCGGTTTCCCTCTTCACCTGCAGGGCGCGGATCAAACTGGTGGTGGTGGAGGTCATCTCACTCGGGAGATATCCCTAATGCGTAAGTTCAGAATTCCCTGTCGCATCCTGGGAGAGTCTCTCTCCCGCTAAAAGATGGTCAAGAGCCAAAGAGCTCAAGCCCACAACAAGGAGCGTCTTCCTCCACAAGAAGTTGTGGGTCCCCTGCCGATTGATGTAGGAGTCTCCACCGACGTTGGATTTGGAGAACCCGTTTTCCCCTAGCGAGGAGAGGCCTGGTCTGCCTCTCTATGGGTCGTTCTGCCGCCCGCAACAGCGCAGCCTCCGTTCCCTTCCTCGCCCCCGGAGGGGGGGGGGCGCCAATGGGCTCCCCTTTAGCCAGCACCGCCCGACGGAGGGTCCCATCAGGGTTTTGCGGAGCCAGCCAGCTATGCCGGAAGCCTTCTGACCCCTAGGCTCTTACCCTGAGACCTGCTCCGCGGCCTGCGCTTGCCCCTCCAGCTTGGTCTCTGCAGACGCAGCCCGATCGCCGCCAACTCTACCTGAGCCTACGAAGCCCAAAGCCCGTGGGCGCTCCGGCCACTACCGCCTCTCCGTCTCTATGGTCCTCCCGCACTTCCTCATCCGGGGCCCGACTCAGCCATGCGGAGTTGCCCAAATACCGCCCCCGGACCGCACGCGCGCGCACGCGCGCGCGCACTCCAAGGGGAAGCTCTTCCCACGAGGGACCTCCCGCCCTCCGCTAACCACAGCAGCCCTTCACCCCGCCCCTGTGGTTCAGACTCTTAAAGGAAACACACCTTGGGTTGGGCTAACACTGAGGCCCAGGGTCCAGTTCCTTTGCTAACAATCCTGTTTACTCCCTATTTTTCTGATCTGGACGTGCGCTGTTCTAGGAGGCACTCCTGCTTCCACTCTGGAAGCTCAAGAGGCCTTCTAATAAATGGAATAAGTATTATAAGTCATATCACTAACCTCTAATAACACCGACCCTAAATCTAAATGATACCTCTGCTCCTAATTGGTTACAACGCTTTATTTTCATTTCTTCACCGATTTAATACTAGATGGAAATGTTTCATCACTTGATTTTTTTACCATCTGTTCCTTTCCACCTCTGCCTTATAGCGCCTAACACAGTGTCTAGCAGACATCTGAAGAAAAAACCCCAGAAGGGAATTGAGGATGTTAAAAAATGCAATCCATTTCCCCCAAATCACATAGATAAATGATAAAAATAGAAATTTGTTGCTTCTTGGAGTCTAGTGAATGCTGCTATTAACATGGAAGTGCAAACTGTAATATGACATCTTTAACTCTTTCAGGAAAATACCCAGAAGTGGAATAGTTGGGTCAAGTGGAATTTCTAGCTTCAGTGTTTTGAGGCATCTCTATACTGATTTCCACGGTGACTATACAAGTTTACATTCCCACCAACAATCTAGAATGATTTTTTCTCCCCAAATTGCTAATATTTGTTACTATTTGATGGCTTGATGATAGCCATTTCTCTCCAGAGTAAGATGGAATCTTGGTGTTTTAATGTGCATTGCTCTAATGGACAGGGATGTTGAATATTTTTTCATGTATCTATTGGCCATTTGTACTTCTTATGAGAAGTGTATTCATTTCAGTTGCCCGTTCTTTGATTGAGTCTTTATTTCAGGTGGCGTAATTTGTTTTGAGTTCTTTATATATTCTAGATGTTAGTCCTCACTGAAAGGAATAGATTGCAATTTTTTTTTTGTCTTTTCACTCTGTTGATTGTTGCTTTCTTTGCTGTCCAGAAGCTTTTTAGCTTGATATAATCCTATTTGTCGAGTCTTGATCTAATGATTTGCTATCACCCCATTTGTTCTTTCTTGTGAAATTGAATTTTGTTGAGAAAGTTCTTGCCTGCGTCTTCAAAAGTTACCTATTTTACTTTCTAGCAAATTAAGTGTTTTTGTCTCAATTTTAGATCTTTGATCCATTTTAGCATTGGTTTAGTACACGGTGAGAGACATAGGTTTAGATTTCATCTTCTGCATGTAGATAGCCAGCTTTCTCAGCATATTTGTTAAAGAGGCTACCTTTCCTCCAGCATATGTTCTTGGCCCCTTTTACAAAGACCACATGGTCAAATGTGCTTGTGGTTGTTTCTGCATCCTCCATTCTATTCTATTAATCCACCTGTCTATTTCCATCCCAATACCATGAGTTTTTAAAATTTTAATATAAAGGTAGTAAAAATACAACAGAATAAAGCCAATCGAGACAATGCAGTGAAATTGGTAGAGAACTTCACAGCAGGATACTGGGATAGTAGTAATAGGTACTATACTATATCTTGTTATCTTCACAATAGTTGTCTGGTCAATTAGTTATAGTGAAATCAAATTAAAAAAAGAACATTATAAAACCAATTGAAAGAGAGTGTCGAATAGAGCAAAAAAACATCAAACATAACGATGAAAACAACCTTGCCTTCAAACAGAAGATAGAAGGAAATCCCCCATATTTGCTACATTGCATATGGTCATCCAAGAGATGCTGTGACATCTATTCCCAGTTGCTACTAGGGGGTGTGGGGTGTAGTGGGATGTGTGTTTGATTCTCAGCCCATGCTCTGGTAGGCTCACAGGAGCCGCTGGTTCTCCTCCTGGCCTGTGCCAGGGGCGCTTACCAAGAGGGCAGGCAAATAAGCTGCCTAAGTTCCACTATGGCCAGATCTCAGGAGCACTGGTTCTCCTCCTGGCCTGTGCCAGGGACCATGATGTTTTTATCACTGTAGTTTTGTAATATAATTTGAACTCTAAGATTGTGATGCCTCACGCTTTGCTCTTGTTGTGCAAAATTGTTTTGCTATTCTGAGTCTCTTCTGGTTTCATGTAAATTTCAGAATTATTTTATTTAGTCATGTGAGGAATATTATTGATATTTTAACTGGAATTGTTTTAAATCTACATATCAATTTTGGAAGTATGTCCATTTTGACAATGTTGGTTCTGCCTCTCCAGGAACAGATTTTCTGATGTCCTCTTCAATATCCTTTTCCAGATTACTAGTTTTCATTGTAAAGGTCTTTCATTTCCTTTGTTAGGGAAAATCCTAAGTATTTAAATTTTCTTGTGCTATTGTGAATATATTTTTTCCTAATTTCTTTCTGAGTGAGTTCATTATTGCTATACAAGAATACTATTGATTTTTGTGCATTCCTGATTTGTATCCTGGTACAATTCTTGGTTTGTTTAATTCTAGGAGTCTTTTAGTGGATTTTTGGAAGGTCTTCTATGTAGAGGATCATGTTATCTGCAAATAGTGATAATTTAACTTCATTTCCTATACATATCCCTTTTATTCCTCATGCATGATTGCCCTGGTTAATGTTTCAAGTACTATGTTAAACAGGAGTGGTGATCTCTTGATTTTAAAGGAAAGGGTTTAGTTTTCCCTCATTTAATATGTAGACAGTTGGTTTATCATTAATGGCTTTCAAGAGATTGAGATAAAGTCTACCTAGAGCTATTTTTTCAGGGTTCTTATGAATGGATGTTTGATTTTGATCAAAGGCTTTTTTATATCAAGTAAGATCTTATGATTTTTGCCTTTGTTTTTATTTATGTGTTATATTTATTGCTTTGCATATTTTGAACAATCCTTCCATTCCTGGAATGAATCCTTCTTAGTCATGAAGTGTGTTCTTTTTGATGATTTGGAGGTCTTTTAATTTGTATTCATCCTCTTCCTACTCCCCACTCTGGGAATGAGACCAGGGCCATCAGCATGCAAGGCAAAAACCGAGTTATTTTCTTTTTTTTTTTTTTTCTTTTTTGTTTTTTATCGGTACCAGGAATCGAACTGACAACTGCCTGCTTGCAAGGCAGGCGCTTATGCCACTGAGCTAAATCCCCAGCCCCTAAAACTGAGTTATTTTCCTAATCACCGAGCACAGCCCTAACCACACACTGTTAATTTCAAACACTTGATTTTATATGTCTCTTACCTCATTTGGCCCTGAGGTATGTTATGAAGGAGAAAAGACATACTTTTATTTCCATTTGGCAGGATGAAATTTAAAAACAAGAGAATTATCTCAGGTAGAACCACACAGTAAAAAAACAGATGATTTGGGTTGGGGATTTAACTCAGTGGCATAAGTGTCTTGCTGGCAAGCGTGAGGTCATGAGTTCGATCCCTGGTCCCCCCCCCCAAACAAAAAGCAGATACAGTGTAGTACAGTGTTTACAGAAGCAAATCTTTTGGGTCCCCATCTGGGGTCTATCCATGTTCCCTAACCTTTAGATGCTTAAGGAAAATGTTCAAAGCTTTGAAGCTTTAGAAATGAGAGTTATCAAATTCAGAAGTAAAATGCTTATATTTCCAAGATACAACACCAACTATGGACATCTCTCAGAAGAATTAGACTCCTCTGAGGCCAAAAGAGAGAATCATGTTAGCCTCCTCTAGAATGGAAAACTTCCCACCAACTACTGTTGCTTAAAAAAAATTTGAGGCATAGATCTGGCACAATATAACATTTTATCCTTCAAAAAAAAAATCTATGGTTGGGCATCATGGTGCATGTCTATAATTCCAGAATTTGGGAGGCGAAGGTAAGAGGATCACTGCAAGTTTGAGATCAGCCTGGGCTATATAATGAGTTTAAGGCCAGCCTGAACTACATAGCAAGACACTGTCTTAACAAACAAACCAAAAACACTGTGGGTTGGGATGTAGCTCAGTGGCAGAGTGCTTGCTCAGCATGTGCAAGGTCCTGGGTTTAATTTGTTGAATCATAAACAAAAATTCTGTAAGCCAGGCATGGTGACACATACCTATAATCCCAGCACTTGGAAGGCTGAGTTAGAAGGATCACAAGTTCAAGGCTTGCCTGGGCTAAAATAGTGAGTTCAAAGCCCTCATGAATCACAAAGAGAAATCCTGTTTTAAAAAAGAAAAAAAATACGGTTTTTAGTTACATACAATTTTATGTACATTTAATTATGTACAATTTTCATCTCTGTCTCCCCTGCAATCCCTGCTTTGTATGTGTGTGTGTGTGTGTGTGTGTGTGCGCGCGCGCATGTGTTTTACTGGGATGAAACCCAGATAGACTATAGAGTTTGGTACATACTAGAAAACTTACTCTTCCACTCAGCTACATCCCCAGCACCCTCTCTCCATTTTTAAAATTTTTTTGAGACCGGCCTGGATAAGTTCCCCAAAACAGGCCTCCAATGTGCAATCCCTCCCAACTTACTCTCCCAAGTACAAATAAATCCCTGATTTACAATGGAGATTCTTTCTTTTTTTTTTGTCTTTTTCATTTTTATCAGTACCGGGGATTGAACTCACGACTGCCTGCTTGCAAGGCAGGTGCTTATGCCACTGAGCTAAATCCCCAGCCCCAATGGAGATTCTTTCTAGGAGGTTTCTAAATTGGACTAATTTGCAAATCAGACAAAGTGAGTCTTACACACCTTTGACACAAATATACAATGTTAAGTTTTCCCTCATGCTTCCAGACATCCTGGGCTCTGATTGATTGAGTACTGTACACTATACTATACTATACTATATTTGGCACTATATAGTAAGCACATAGCAGCACAACTGTGACTATGTCCAGCAGACACACGGAGCTACTTTGGTGATTTGTTCCCAACTCACTCGAATGTTGCTAAGTGGGAGACTTACTTGTAACTGACAGTACAGGGTGCAGTACCACAATTGCCTGGCATGCCTTTTCTTTTCTTTGCTGTGCTGGGGATCTAATACAGGGCCACAGGCATGCCAGGCCAGTATTCTACTGAGTTACATCCCCTGCCCCCGGGTTTTCTTTTCACAAGTCTAGTGCCTTTCTGTCTGCAGTCTCAACTGCCAGGCGGGCCAAGGCAAGAGGACTGCTTAAACTCAGGAGTTCTGGGTCAGCCTACAGCCTAGGTATCTCAAAAAGCCTGGGTCGCGGTGGGGTGGCTGCAGATGTAGCATGTAGCATGTAGAGCATTTGCCTGACATTTATGAAACCTTGGATTCAATTCCAGTGCAAAAAATAAAAGTGCCTCACAATTACTTATTTAACTTAGCACGAATTCTAATTAAAATCATGCCTAAATTTTGCCTTATTTTATTGCAGGGGTTCCCTTAGCTCATACCCAAGTCTCCCATGTAATACCCCGCTTTTTTTTTTTTTTTTTGCCAACATTCATATGGATTCCTGAAGACCGTAAAAAAATGGAGAAGCTTGTGTTAAAAGTTATTA